ACGTTCCGTGATACTCTTCTTACTTTATTTCCGCAAAGCTTCCGCGAAAGCCGAGTGAACGTACATCAATTTCATTGCTTTCAAAATTAGCACTTTTTTTTCCAAAATAGTCAACCTATCAATGCATTTATTATTTTCAGTTTTTCAACTGCAAACGGCTAACACAATAAAATGTCTCGCAATTTCTCTAAAATTTTCTCAACGCTTGCTCTTTTACGATTCAAATTTGGTTCCACAAACCGCAAAACTACGAGTCAACTACACTGAGCCCGTACAAGCCTTACCCGGTTAGTCTTCTCTACATCCGCGTCACTAAAATATTTGCTTGAGGAAGACGCTCGTCCGACACAGTCTGCTCCTCGCGTGGAGCTTAAGGAGGTTCTCTGAGAGAAGGTAAATCAAACGACATTTTGTTAGAGGTTTCTTGCACAAGTCGGTAACTATTCTACAAGCTCATGATATTCTGTTTAGCTATGTTATTTTCGTTATCTAGGCAAAAGCAAAGGTCAAAGTTTCCGACACAAAAAAATCTGTCAGCTTCGTTTATGGAAAAAAAATATTTTCAAATTGGTAGAATAAGAAACGTATTCAACAAACTTTTGTGTTCTACAAGTAATTTAAAAACATCCTGTGACGTTTGGTTTGGCTATTGTTTCAATTTTCTATTTCTGAAACGTCCAGCCGAGCTACTTGTATTTTTTTCCTGCAGAGCTATTACAAAAGCCAAGGAAACACGTATGGATCTTACTGCGTTCAAAATTAGTATTTTTATTTAGAAAACAGTCAACCTTAGAATATCTCTGTTATTTTCACCTTTCCGATTACATGTCCTTAACAGACTGAAATGTTTTCTCATTTCCTCCAACATTTTCTCAGCACTCGTCGCTCTAAGATCTAAACTTTTTCACACAAACCGTGAAATTAGGAGCAAAGTGTCTGCAGCTCAAAGAATCCTTACCGGGTCACTTAGCTGTGCATTCGTGTTATGACTATGTTTGGTTGAACCAATCTCTCGTTCGCTACTGCTTGCTTCAGGCCAAAAACACACAGAGACTCTCTAAAAAAATAAATGGTAAACAATAATTTATAGGACTTCCTAGAAAGCTTTTACAAAAAACGAGGGGAGCATATCTATTTCATTGCGTTCAAGAGTGCTATTTTTTTCACAAAACGGTCAACCTTACAGTGTCTCTATTATTTTCCACTCTTCGATTAGATACCATTGACAGACTAAAGGGTCTTCTCATTTGCTCCGAAATTTTCTCAACATTCGCCGCTTCAAAATCCAAATTTTCCCCATAAAGCACGAAATTCGGAGTAGAGTATCTGTACCTTGAAGAAGCCTTACCTGGTCCCTCAATTGTGCATTCAAGTTAGGACTACGTTTGATTGAACGGACCCCTCGTTCGCCACTGGCTGCTTCACTGAAAGACGGCATGAAGGCCATCTAGAAAAATTTAAGGTGAACAGTAATTCATTAGAGTTCCTGCAAACCTTTTACAAAAAGCTAAAGAAAAGGTACCTATTTCACTTGTGTTATGCAGTAACTTTGTACTAACCTCACGGCTTTTTTTGCGAAGAAGTTTATGAAGTTTTCTTGTTGCTTGCGCTTACTTCAGACTGAAGTGTGCTGGAAAAATTAAAGCTATTTGATTTTTTAGATAAATAAGAAAAATTTTTAAGTGCGAGTTTTTAAATGTTTTTGAGACTATGGTTATGTTTTTTGGAACGTTTTTGGTTTTAAAACTTTGTAAGTTGCTAATTTTGAGTTTTTTTTGCTTTGTTGTCGCCCAGTTCGCTGTTTTGTTGCACACTCATCTGTTTTGAGAAGTTTTTCAACATATCGAAAATAGTAGGCGGGCTAACAGACATTTTTTGATTCGTTATGTTGTGGCCTCTAAAAAATTAATAAGGGTTAAAAAGAAAAATGAGACGCACTTTTAGGACAGCGATAACTACGAAATTTCCAGTGCTTACCATACTGTCGTATACACTTAAGATCTGCACTCTTTAACTGTATTTACGCAGCTTCACACTTCCTTTTCCAAATTAGACTAAAGATTGTTCAGTTTAGCCTATTAGCGCAAACCTACAAAAGAAACACAGGGTAAGTTTTGTTGACCAATTTCAAACGCGAATTTTGATTTCATGAAATAACCGCAGCAAAAAAGAAACGGCTACAAAGCTTTCTATAATTTCATTAAGCAATCGATTGTTACGAAGCAGAAGAATTTGATTATAATTGAGAAGCAAATGATTATTTCAAGAAGCAATTTTATGCATCTGGTCTCGTAGACAGTTTAGGATTATAACATAGTTCATATTTACTGCATAACCCGCTGAACTGTAATACTGTTGAACCAGTATATCAAATTACGACCAAAAACTATCGCACCTATAATAATTCGTTGGCATTTATGCCCCTAATACCAAAAAAGTATCTTTATATTATTGAATCATCGACGATGAAAGGAAATGTTTGAGAAAAGCAGTAAA